CCGGTGTTGTTTGTAAAGAAGAAGGATGGATCGATGAGGATGTGCATTGATTATTGGCAGTTGAACAAAGTCACCATCAAGAACAAGTATTCATTGCCGAGGATTGATGACTTATTTGATCAGCTTCAGGGTGCCCAAGTGTTTTCAAAGATGATTTGAGGTCTGGCTACCATCAGTTGAGGATTAGGGCATCCGATTTCCCTAAGATAGCTTTTCGGACTCGGTATGGGCATTATGAGTTTCTAGTGATGTCATTTGGGCTGACAAATGCCCCAGCAGCATTCATGGATTTGATGAACCGGGTGTTCAAGCCCTATCTGGATTGCTTCGTGATTGTCTTTATTGATGATATCTTGATCTACTCCCGCAGCCGAGAGGAGCATGAGCAGCATCTTCGGATCGTTCTTCAGACTCTGAGGGACAGCCAGTTATATGCTAAGTTTTTGAAATGTGAGTTTTGGTTGAGTTTAGTTTCATTCTTGGATCACGTTGTATCAGTAGAGGGCATTCAGGTGGATCCTAAGAAGATTGAGGCAGTCAAGGACTGGCCTAGACCCAGATAAGCTACAAAGATCCAGAGTTTCTTGGGATGAGCAGGTTATTACCGTTGGTTTGTGGAGGGATTTTCATCTATAGCAGCCCTGATGACTAGGTTGACCCAGAAGGGTGCCCCGTTCAGATGGTCGGACGAGCGTGAGGCGAGCTTTCAGAAGCTCAAGACTGCTTTGACTACGGCACCGGTATTAGTGTTGCCCACAAGTTCAGGGCCCTATATAGTATATTGTGACGCATCTCGTATTGGACTTGGTGCGGTATTGATGCAGGGTGGCAAGGTTATTGTATATGCTTCGCGGCAGCTAAATATTCACGAGAAGAATTATCTAGTTCATGACTTAGAGTTGGCAGCCATTGTTCACGCGTTGAAGATTTGGAGGCACTACCTATATGGCGTGTCGTGTGAGGTGTTCACGGATCATAAGAGTTAGCAGTACTTGTTCAAGCAAAAAGGAGCTCAATTTGAGGCAGAGAAGGTGGTTGGAGCTATTAAAGGACTATGATATCAGCATCTTGTATCATCCCGGGAAGGCCAATGTGGTGGCCGATGCTTTGTGTAGGAAGTCAGCCAGTATGGGCAGTCTTGCATATATTCCGGTCGGTGAGAGACCACTTGCATTAGATGTTCAGGCTTTGGCCAATCAGTTCGTGAGGTTGGATGTTTCTTAGCCCAGCCGTGTTCTAGCTTGTACAATCGCTTGGTCCTCATTTTTTAGGTGTATCAGGGAGCGGCAGTATGATGATCCTCATTTGCTTGTCCTTAGGGACACAGTGCGACACGGTGATGCCAAGCAGGCTACGGTTGGAGATGATGGAGTCTTGAGGATGCAGGGTCGTGTTTGTGTGCCTAATATGGATGGGCTTCGTGAGTTGATTCTAGAGGAGGCCCACAGTTCCCGATATTCTATTCATCCCAGCGCCGCTAAGATGTATCAGGACTTGCGGCAACATTATTGGTGGAGGAGGATGAAGAAGGATATTGTTGCATATGTAGCTCGGTGTTTAAATTGTCAGCAAGTAAAGTATGAGCATCAGAGACCTGGTGGTTTGCTTCAGAAGATTGAGATTCCTGAGTGGAAGTGGGAGCGTATCACTATGGATTTCGTTGTTGGACTCCCACGAACACAGAGGAAGTTCGACGTTGTTTGGATTATAGTGGATAGACTGACTAAGTCAGCGCATTTCATTCCTGTGGCAGTTTCCTATTCTTCGGAGCGGTTGGCAGAGATTTATATCCGTGAGATCGTTCGTCTCTGTGGTGTGCCCGTGTCTATTCTGATCGAGGTACGCAGTTCACCTCGCATTTCTGGAGGGCAGTACAGTGTGAGTTGGGTACGCGGGTTGAGTTGAGCACAACATTGCATCCTCAAACTGACCGATAGTCCGAGCGTACTATTCAGATTTTGGGATCAGTTCTTGCCGTTAGCGGAGTTTGCTTACAACAACAGCTATCAGTCGAGCTTCTAGATGGCCCCCTATGAGGCATTATATGGTAGATGGTGTTGATTGCCGGTTGGGTGGTTTGAGCTGGGGGAGGCTCGATTGTTGGGTACCGATTTGGTACAGGATGCCTTGGATAAGGTTAAGATCATTCAGGATAGACTTCGTACAGCTCAGTCCAAGAAAAAGAGTTATGCCGATCGTAAGGTTTGTGATGTGGCTTTCATGGTTGGAGAGAGAGTGTTGCTTCGGGTGTAACCCATGAAGGGTGTAACGATATTTGGGAAGAAGGGCAAGTTAAGCCCTAGGTTCATCGGGACTTTTGAGATTCTTGATCGAGTGGGAGAGGTGGCCTGCAGACTTGCGTTACCACCGAGCTTATCACTGGTGCATCTAGTATTTCATGTGTCCATGCTTCGGAAGTATCACAGCGATCCATCCCACGTGTTAGATTTCAGCACCGTCCAGCTGGACAAGGATTTGACCCACGAGGAGGAGCCGGTAGCTATTCTAGACCGGCAGGTTCGTCAGTTGAGATAGAAGATTTATCTTTTGGTTCGAGTGCAGTGGAGAGGTCAGCCTGTTGAGGCATCTACCTGGGAGTCTGACTCCGATATGTGAAGCAGATATCCCCATCTTTTCCCTAGCTCAGGTACTTTTCTATGTCCGTTCGAGGACGAACGGTTATTTTAGAGGTGGAGAATGTGATGACCCGAAAGGTCATCTTGTATTTTAGAATCCAATTCGAGGTTCCGAGGCCTTCAAAACCTTATTTTATTTCTCCTTGATTTGCGTGCGCAGTTCGGGCGCGTTTCCGAAAAGCCTTTATGTGGAAATTTGAGAAAATAATAAGTTTTGCCTTTAAAAGGTTATTTTAGTTGACTTTGGTCAACATTTTGAGTAAACAGACCTGGACCCGTGTTTTGATGGTCCTGGAGGGTCCGTAGTAAAATATGGGACCTGGGCGTATGCTCGGAATCGAATTCGGAGGTCCCTAACCCGAGTAATGAATTTTTGTTAAAAATTGTTAAACTGAAAATGTAAGGATTTAAAGAAATTGAATAATGTTTGATCTCGTTGGTATCGGGCCCGTATTTTGGTTTCTGAGCCCGGTACAGGTTTAATTTAATATTTAAGTCATGTCTGTGAAATTCGGTGAAAAACGGAGTTTATTTGATGTGATTCGGACGTCCGGTTGTGAAAGTAGGAATTTCAAGTGTTCTTAAGAATTTCATGTGTTTTGGTGTTAAATCCGTAGTTATAGATGATATTTTGGCGATTTGATCGCACGAGCAAGTTCGTATGATGTTTTAAGACTTGTGTGCATGATTGGTTTGGAGCCCTGAGGGCTCGGGTGAGTTTTAGATAGGCTACGTAGTGTTTTGGAACTTAGGAAAATTTGCTGGTATGACTAAACCTGTTGCTGGCCTCTGATCTCGCAATTGCGAGATCAGGCATCGCAATTGCGAACCCTGCAGGTTCCGCATTTCCGAGGCTTTCATCGCAATTGCGACCATAAGCTAGGCCATGACAGTCTTGGCAATTGCGAGGACTTCTTCGCATTTGCAAAGTAAAACTGGGTAGGGCAGTGATCGCAAATGCGATCATTTTGTTGCATTTGCGGAGGTTCTGGTTCGGAATTGCGAGGTAGTTCCTAAGGCTTAAATTGAATTGTTTGGTTTGTAATTGCTAGATTCTATTGGCTCGGAGGCTAGTGTGAAGGGAAAAGCAGTGATTGAGCTTTGAGTTTGGCCGTGGTAGCGAGGTAAGTGTTGTGGCTAACCTTAGCTTGAGAGATTAGGTATTGTTGTCTATTTGCTATGTGTTTGGTTATTGTCGGGTCATAGCATGCGAGTGAGTCTTATTATTGTGATTGTTGTATTCTTTATTCGTATTGTTCATGCTTAAACTGGTTATTCTTCATGTTGAGCAATTCTTATCTTGTTTCCTGGAATTGGATATTGGTTGAGTATTGACTCAAAGTTGAGATTGATGTTGTGAAACTAAGGATTGAAATGGGCTTGTTGTTAATAATTCCATTGCCCGGTTGTTATTGTTTTGTTGTTTAGGTGAGGAAGAGTGTAAATCACGAAGGGTAATGCCGTGCCATTACATATTCATTATCATGTGAGAAAGAGTGCAAAGCACGAAGGGTGATGCCATGCCATTTCATATTCATTATCATGCGAGGAAGAGTGTAAAGCACGAAGGGTGATGCCGTGCCATTTCATATTCATTATCATGTGAGGAAGAGTGTAAAGCACGAAGGGTGATGCCGTGCCATTTTTATATTCATTTTAATTGTTTCTTCTATTTGTTTTGGTAAGGATGAGAGTAAAAGCACGAAGGGTGATGCCGTGCACTTGTTTGCTGTGTTTCTGTACTGTTCTATTCTCATGACCTCGTACTCCCCTCAGCATGTTTTTCCCCTCCCATTATTATGTGTTTAATTTCTATTGTTTGTTAGTATGCCCGTATATTGCTTAACTGCATAGGTTTATATATGTGTCATGTCCTAGCCTCCTCACAACTTCGCCGAGGTTAGGCTCGGCACTTACTAGTACATGGGGTCGGTTGTACTGATACTGCACTCTACACTTTTTGTACAGATTTTGGTACCGGACCGTGCTGACCCGAGTGAGCTGCTGCCTTCATTCCAATAGGAGACTTAAGGTAGATCTGCCGGCGTTCGCAGATCCTGGAGTCCCCTTCCAGTTATCCTAGTTTCCTGTTTCTTTTAGATTCGAGAACAGTTGTATTTTCTTTTAGCCAATACTTTTAGTGACTCTTAGAAGTTTGTGGATTGTGACACCAGATTTTGGGTAGTCGTGTATTAGTCCTTGGATTATTATGAAAATTCCGCACTCTTTTAATCTGCTTTGGTTTAATTGTTGCTATTTATTGAACTGGTTAGTGGTTAGCGTATTAAATCTCTATCTGTTGGCTTGCCCAGTATTCTGAAAAGTTAGGCGCCATCACGATCCCGAGGGTGGGAAATCCAAGCCATGACAAAAGGAATAGAAGTTGATAAGGCTAAAATTGATCTTATAGCAGGATTATCCACTCTCACCACTGTTAAAGGTATTAGAAGTTTCTTAGGGCATGCGGGTTTTTACAGAATGTTAATAAAAGACTTTTCAAAATTTTCAAAACCTCTGACTAACCTACTGATGAAAGATGTGAAGTTTGAATTTTCAGATTATTGCAGAAAAGCATTTGAGTTTCTCAAAGAACAATTGACTAATGCTCCAATTGTTGTCTCTCCTGATTGGAGCCAGCCATTTGAAATAATGTGTGATGCAAGTGATATAGCAGTAGGAGCGACATTGGGACAAAAGAAAAATAAGATCTTTAGACCCATATACTATGCCAGCAGAACCCTCAATGAAGCTCAATTGAATTATGCAACAACCGAGAAATAGTTACTGGCAGTAGTATTTGCGTTTGACAAATTTCGTTCTTATTTGATTGGAACGAAGGTTACAGTGTTCACCGATCATGCAGCCTTAAAGTATCTATTAACAAAGAAAGACGCTAGACCTAGATTGCTAAGATGGATACTCCTTTTGCAAGAATTTGATCTCGAAATAAAAGATAGAAAAGGTTGAGAAAATCAAGTAGCTGATCATTTGTCGCGCTTAGAGAATCCTCCTACTGAAATACTAGATATCCAAGAGGAATTTCCTGATGAGCATATCTTTTCAGTCGCGACGGTTGTAAGTAAACCCCCTTGGTTTGCTGATATTGCCAATTATTTAGCAGGAGGATGACATAATCAGGAGATGTGTACCTGAAACAGAAATGAAAAATATTTTAAGTTATTGCCATGATGGAGCTGTAGGAGGACATTACGGAGGAAGAAGGACGGCAGCTAAAGCACTTGAAATTGGTTTTTTCTGGCCTACTTTGTTCAAAGATGCAAAAATTTGTGTTGCCTCTTGTGACAAATGTCAAAGAACCGGTAACATTTCAAAAAGGTATGAGATGCATCTTAACTCTATTGTTGTGTGTGAATTATTTGATGTTTGGGGCATTGACTTCATGGGTCCTTGTCCTCCTTCAAATGGTTACGAATATATTTTGGTAGCTGTTGATTACGTCTCAAAATGTGTAGAAGCAATTGCTACTAAAAAAAATAATGCTCGAGTTGTTTGCGATTTTCTCAAGAAAAATATCTTTTCTAGCTTTAGAACTCCACGAATTATAATAAGTGATCAAGGAACTCATTTTATAAATAGACAATTTGCTAGTTTATTGTCAAGATATGGAGTTACTCATAAAACAGGAACTCCATATCATGCTTAAACAAGTGGACAAGTAGAAGTATCCAACAGAGAATTAAAAAGAATTTTAGAAAAAACTGTTGGCTCTTCTCGAAAAGACTGGTCTCTAAAATTAGATGACACTTTGTGGGCTTACAGAACTGCTTTCAAAACTCCAATAGGCACATCTCCTTATAGACTAGTTTTTGGAAAATATTGTCATTTACCTGTAGAGTTAGAGCATAAAGCATATTGGGCAATAAAATTATTATATTTAAACTTGCCAGATGCAGGGAAAAATCATCTATGTAACTTGACGAGTTAGAAGAGTTTAGACTTACAGCTTATGAAAATGCTAAATTATACAAAAAAAAGACAAAAAAATGGCATGACAAGCTCATTCGCCATAAAGAATTTAAGATCAAAGATCATGTTCAGTTGTACAATAGTCGGTTGAGATTATTCCCGGAAAAGTTTAAATCACGCTGGACAGGGCCATTCACTGTAATAGAAGTTACCAATTATGGTGCCATTGAAATACAACATATAAACGGGGGAGAAAAATTCAAGGTAAATGGTCATCGATTCAAGCCTTATGTTACTAGGATATTTGACAAACATGTTTCAACAATCTTTCTTGCTTAGAAAATAATAATGAGTCGAGCTGACGACATTAAACTCAGAACTACTATCTCTTTTTTTCTTTTCTTAAGGTGATGTTAATATTTTAAAAAAAACACATAAATATATTTTATTATATGAATATATGTATATATGTATGTATGTGTGTGTATCTGTGTGGTAATTACATAATATGTATTTACAAATGTAACGACCTGACTGGTCGTTTTGCTTTCTAGAATCTCGTTTCCCTAAATAAGACTTCCCGTACTTGCTTTAACTGATTTATGACTTGCGGGGATGGTTGGTTTGGGATTTGGAAGAGTTTAGGTTGAAATCGGAACACTTGGTTCCTTAAGTTTGGCTTAAAAGGCCAAGTTTGACTTCGGTCAATATTTTGAGTAAACGACCTCGGAATCCAGTTTTGAAGGTTCCAACAGGTTCGTATGATGATTTCGGACTTGGGCGTATGTCCGGATCGGATTTTAGATGACCCGGGAGTGTTTTGGCACCTATTAGTGAAAGTTGATTCCTTAAGGATTTTGAAGTTCTTAAATATTTGGTTTGGAGCGGGTTTTCGTGTTATCGAGGTCCGAACGGAATTCCGAGACCGGGAGTAGTACGTAAAATTTGGTGTCAATCATAAGTTTGATTCAATTGGTTTTAGGGGGTGATTCTTAGATTTAGCATTGTTTCGGGCGTTCCTAGGGTTCGAGCAAGTCCGTTTTATGATTTCAAACTTGTCGGTATGTTCGGGCAGGGCCCGGGGCCCCGGAGCGTCAATCGGACGAGGCTCGAGTTGAGTTAGGAAACTTTGGAAGGAGCTGAAGCTCCAGGTTGCTGTCATAACCGCACCTGCAGTCGGATAGCAGCAGGTGCGAGACCACAGAAGCGGTCGATCCTTCGCAGGTGCGGCAAAGGGGAGGATCCCAGGAATCGCAGATGCGGCTCCTCTTCCGTAAGAGCGGAACCGCAGGAGTGGCCCCCAGACCGCAGAAGCGGTACCAGCAAGCCCGGTCCAATTCCGCAGATGCGGACCTTCCCTCGCAGAAGCGAGACTGCAGATGTGGTCCTTTAACCACAGGTGCGGAAATCGTAGAAGGCAGTGCCTTCATTTAATACGGGAAATGTGTCATTTTTGACACATTTCATTCAATTCTTGGGCGATTTGGGAGCTTCCAAAGAGGGGATTTCGGCCTAGCATTGTGAGGTAAGTTATTTCTACATAATGTGAGTTTAATACATAGTTTAGGGGTAGATTACACCTTGTAAATTGGTGAAAATTGTGGGTTTAGAGTAAAACCTAGGGTTTTGATAAAAACAAGATTTTACCACAAAATTTGTTATGGAATGAAGTAAAAATCATATATTCTTGATCCTTAGGTTATGGGCAACAACTTCCCTCGAGAATTTCCGGAATCCGGGCACGTGGGCCCGGGGGATGGATTTTAGGAAACTTGTATTTAGGGTTGGGAAATTACTTTAATAGTTAGAATATGAACTCTTGAGCTTGTATTGACTAGTTCTTACCCCGTTTGATTAGTTTTGGATCGTTCGGCTCCGAATTGACGATTTGAGCGCGTTCTTGATATTGGAAATAATCTTTGGAGCAAGGTAAGTCTCCTTTCTAACCTTGTAAGAGGGAATTGTCCCCATAGGAGAAATAATTAAATATTTGCCACTAAATGCGGGGGCTACGTACGCACGAGGTGACGAGAGTCCTTGCGTAGCTACTATTATGCTTAAGTTCGGGTAGTTTAAGACCCAAGAGCATGCCTTACTTGCCGTATTTTTAACTTTATTGTTAATTTGAATTGCGCAAATCATATCAAACTTGGCAAATGAATTTCTAAAAAGTAAACATCATTTTCTTGACCGTTAAAGAGAAGTTCGACATTATCTTGGATAACTGTTTTCCTGACCAATTATTGATTGACTGCTTGATATGTTTATCTGTGTATGACCGTGTTGCATGTATGATTCGCGAGCGGGGTAATAGATGCATCTACGGTTCGCGCCGTTCGACCCTCCGGCAGTGCACATTTTATTTTATGTTAGATCAGGCCGTACGACCTCGGCATTATTTGCGCATGCTATTTGCCTGGTGCTTTCTGTGATTTGAACTGTTTAAAATGCCTTGAAATATTGATTGTTAACTGAAATGTTATCGATGAAAGAGCCTGTTATCAACGGTTATTTATTTAGGACATCCATGCTTAGCGTAACACTTAAATTATATCATTATTGACCCTAGTAAGTGTCAAGTCGACCCCTCGTCACAAGTTAGACTGGATACTACTGGGTACATATTGTTTATGTACTCATACTACGCTTTTGTACTTAAATGTACAGGATCTGAGGCAGCTGCATCTAGCTACTGGTCCGACGCACGTTCCTGATACTTGACCGGGATTCCACGGTGAGCTTCCACTTCTGAGCAGTTCAGCAGCTTGCTGTAGTCTCTTCTTTTGTTGTTGCTGTCCATTCTGTTTCAGGCAGTAGGATAGATGTATTCTTCTGTACATTCTACTAGTTGCCCTAGGACTTGTGACACTAGTTCCTAGCACACACATTGTAGACCATTATTTTAGGATTGTATTTCTATTATTATAACTTGTCCATTATCGACTGTTTACAAGTTTAAGATTACTAAATGTTGGGACTTGTCCCGGTAAAATAAATGAGCACTCACTAGTTGTATAGGGTTGGCTTGCCTAACCATGGAGTTGGGCGCCATCACGACCTATAATGGAATTTGGGTCGTGACAACATGGTTTCAGAGCACTAGGTTCTCGTAGGTCTCACATGTCATGGGAAAACCTAATAGAGTCTTGTGGATCGGTACGGAGACGTCTGTATTTATCTTCGAGAGGCTATAGGGTGTTAGGAAACTACTCTTTATTCATCTTCTATCATGCAGTTGATGGTATACTAAATTTCCTTCTCCTATTCTCTCACTAATGGTGAGGACTCGCACGACAGACGTTCCAGACCCGGGAGGAGCTGCTCCCCCCATTGCTAGAGGCCGAGGCAGAGGCCGGGGGAGGGCACCGTCCCGAGGTAGGGGACGAGGGCGTCCTAGAGCTATCCTAGTTGCACCACCGACGGATCACGCGGGGGATCCTATCATTGAGGAGCAGGGCAAGGTGCCCGCAGCTGAGCCTACCCCGGCGGACTTTATGACAGCACCGGGTTTCCAGGAGGTCATGGTCCATATGTTGCGGTTCTTGAATACCATGACTCAGGCTAGTTTATTTCCAGCAGACCTAGCTACATCTCAGGCGGGAGGGGGAGCACAGACCCCTACTGCTCAGGCTCCTGGTCATGCAGCTGCAGTGTATCAGACTTCGGGTGCACTATCCGCGAATGGGGCTCAACCAGTTACTGCAGTGGTACCCGAGCCCAGACCGGCTACGGACGGTGATCTGCAGAAGTTATTGGACAGATGGACTAGGCTACACCCTCCTATATTCAGAGGCGAGCGTCATGAGGATGCCCAGGATTTCATTGATAGGTGCAGGGAAAGACTGCACAACATGAGGATATTGGAGACTCTTGGGGTTGACTTCACTACATTCCAACTGGAGGGCAGGGCCCGCAGATGGTGGCAGTCCTATGTTCTTGACAGGCCAGCGGGTTCTTCTCCTATTACTTGAGGTCAGTTCACATAGCTTTTCCTGGATAGGTATATACCACTATCTGAGAGGAAAGAGCTGCGGTATCAGTTTGAGCAGCTTGAGTAGGGTCAGATGTCGGTGACCGACTATGAGGCGAGGTTTTCTAAGTTGTCCTGCCATGCACTGATGATACTTCCTACTGATGCAGAGAGGGTGCAGAGGTTTGTTGCAGGGTTGACCGACTTTGAGTTCATACTGGGCATGGATTGGTTATCCCCATACCACGTCGTCCTAGATTGCCATGCCAAGACTGTTACTTTAGCGATGCTAGAGTTTCCAAGGTTGGAGTGGAAGGGTTCCTCAGTTAGTACATCTAGTCGGGTTATCTCTTTTTTAAAGGCTCGACATATGGCCGAGAAGGGCTGTTTGGCTTATCTAGCTTATGTTCGGGACACCACTGCAGAGTCTCCGATGATTGATTCAGTTCCAGTAGTCCGGGAGTTTGCCGAGGTGTTTCCTTCTGACCTTCCTGGCATGCCACCGGATCGGGATATTGATTTCTACATTGATTTGGCTCCAAGTACCCAGCCTATATCTATCCCACCGTACCGTATGGCTCCTAAAGAGTTGAAGGAGTTGAAGGAGCAGCTTGACGAGTTGTTAGCAAAGGGGTTTGTTAGACCGAGTGTGTCACCTTGGGGTGTACCAGTGTTGTTTGTAAAGAAGAAGGATGGGACTATGCGGATGTGCATTGATTACCGCCAGTTAAACAAGGCTACCATCAAGAACAAGTACCCGTTTCCGC